CGAATGAGGGAAAAAGGGTGGAAATTGTCTGGTCTGGATAATAGATTGCTCCGATGAGGTGGTTGGGTGGTATTATCGGAATGCCGAGAAGCCAACGACGGGGCCAGAGCGCCTTAGCTGGCTGCGCCTACAGCTGCAAATCGATCAGGCACGATGTCTCATGAACTGTTGAGTGAAGAGAAAGGGAGACTGCTGCGATGCTCTGACGAATATCTGCTCACTTGATCAAAGTGTCGTACGCCCGGAATACCGGATGCTGGAGGGGTTGGCATGAAGCTGTAGAAAGACCAATTAGGAAAAGTGAAGTTTCCCAGCCCTGATAAGATAAGTGGGCGATTTCTCTCACGTTCATTCACGCCATGAGATAGACACCTTGGATGGCCTTCCAGGCTAGGAACGGGATAAGAGAGGAGGCGCATCCGGAGACACGACGTGACGAGAAGGCGCAGTGCAGACGTTCCAGAATGCCTTCCTTTCAGCTTCCGTTTCTTGAAGTGACCGAAGGAAGCCGCTGCCCAGAGGAAAGTAAGGCAGGTACGGCCATGGCCATGTAAGCCACTTCCTTCAGTTTGATGTTCGAGGGGGAAGGAGGCAAAGAGGGAAAGAGGGATGGCACACAGAAGGTGCGGGTGAGTGCGCAAGTGTGTGAGTTGAGTGGGTGTGTACTCCATACTCCTCCTTCTTTTTCCCCTCCTCTTCTGTGGTGGCTGCACCATCTACAACTGCAAGTCACCTCTGGGTTCGAATGGAGGGGAAGCGTGCCCTCGCTGGTTGGTCTCGGAATCAGTTGCCTGACGGCAGAAGGCGCGTCGAAGTCTGCAAAGAAGCTCTCGCAATAGCGCCGCCCGCGCAGTGGCACCACGTAGTGGCTGCACCACAAACTGCAACTCCCCTGCAATGGCACTCTGCTTGTCCTAGGGTACAGCGCTATGGCGCAGCTCACAGCAAGCCAGCGGTAGGCCAAGCCTACAGAGGTCACTGTAATTAGGCTCCTGCTGTCCTTCTGTGGCATTCCAGCGCTCCCATCCAAAAGTTGGAGGGTAGCACGCTCGGTGGTGGATCCTTGCGGAAGGTGAAGAGATAAAGCATTTTGCAAGGTGCGGGTACCTTGCCTTATCGTTGTAAATCGGCCTTGCCTTGATGGGAGAGAAGACAAGCAGGCATTGGACTATGTAGAAGAGATGAACGACAATCCAAGCCTGATGCAATGATGTTGATGATGATGTTATCGCTACTGCTGCTGCTACTGTTGACGTTACAGTTTACAGTTTAAGCACAGCAATTGTGTGCTGTGCTTTAGTCCCCCATGCTTCCCTATTTCCCTCCTTTCCTGCTCAGTACCGCTGCACCTTCTCCAGTGCAGCCGAGACGATACTCAAACTGCAAGCCACCTCTCTTCCCCTTCACTGCTCTTGTGCCTTTCATCAGATCCCACATGCGGCCAAGTCAACAGCAGGATTACAAACCATTGACGATGAAGAAGCATGTCACCTTTCCAACGACCACATTTTATGGTCACCAAAAGTTGCTGTTCAAGCTTAGGCAAAAGAAGGAAAGACGCGACAAGCAGTTGAAGAGCACCGGAAAATTGTCAACAACGAGTAATTCTCGCATGGTATAACCTCTCGCCATGATCCGTCAGTCCGACAACTCATTTTTCACCGCCAGACCGCTCCATCGCTTGCAGCATAGTTTGTCCCTGGCCACTCGGGGCCCGGAGAAAGCGCAGGGAAGACAGGGTTTCCAGGCTGAAGATAACGACCCTCTCCAACACCTCGTCGGTGATATTGAGAATGGGGTACTTGATAGCCCACCGATATTAAACACATGCGAATTGCATTGCTCTCTCCACTGTGAGCCCCATCAGAAACTGCGATGCCAGCACCGACCACACGACACAACAGGCCAAACCTGCCTTAAATGCCCACATACTGACTTATGTCTGCCGCGGCATCTGGCTGTGGATGCTGAGCATTGGTACCATATGGGTATGCGCACCATGCATCTTTTTGCTTGGAAGACAGGGACAGGAACAGGGTCAGGCACAAGGCCGGGAATAGAACATGGAAAAGACCTGCTTCGTCGCTGGGGCGCGGGGGTTTAGCCAGCGTTATTGTTGCTCAGAGAGGTCTTCCATTCAGCAGGCTGCCCTGAGCTCAACGGGTGGGCTGAAGATGCCTGATGGACCTCCCCGTCATCATCCTTGCCAGCTCGGCTCGAGGCAAAGGATACCGAGGACAATTGGGGGAGATGGAGATACACAGCACTCGTCTCCCGATACTTGCCACCTGGTGCGGGCTTCCCCGCCATAGTCGCGTACCTCAAACAGCGGCAAACAAGTACTCGCTGGTATTCTTCCGGCTCTACACGCCTTGCCTGCTCGCCCACTCACTCTTGATTCAGATCCTCTCTACCAGCGCCAAAACCAGCAATACCTCCAGTTGTCACATGCATTTTGCTCCTTTCTTTACCTCGCCGCAATTACGTCTCGTTGTTCGTGGGCCTGTATCTTCGCCAGCACCGAAATGTTCGGGAGTCATTTCAAACACGGTCCAACTCCTTGAGTCTCTCATCTTTGCACAGGCTCTTGCCGTCATCCTGGCCAATGAGCTCTAGATGGGATTACCCAGTTATCGACTTGTGGTGTTGTTGGCACCCATTGCTGGGCTGCACTGTTGGCCAGGGTTGGGCCTGTTTGTGTCTGCCGGCCGCCAGTTCATCCAAACATCATGTCCAAGAGCTTTTCTTGTTCTTATTTTGCAATTACCTTGATCTGAAGACCCTAGCTTGCCTCGCTACAACTTACCCATCTATTCATCAAGTACCGTCCTTGTCTCATCCCCCGTCGACGACAATTTTCCGCGCCTTTTTTAACTTGCGGCGCCATGTTCCTTGCTCGCGGCAGGCCGAAAGTTAATTGCTCAGGCTTGTTCTTCACAAGCGCCTCTTGAGATTCTGGATGCAGAAACACGCTGGCTCGCTGGCTGGCAGCTGCAGTCACTCTGGGCCCTGGTCGTCCCTCCGCTCCTGTGGTCGTCGCTGTCCTTACATATACAACCCTGGCCTGCCATGCCCTGTAGCGCGGCAGATGCAGCAAGCATTGCATCGCATCGCCTCGCTAGCAGGGGGGAAAGGCAAGGAGCAGGGAGGGTGGGTTTGTAGTGGGTTTGCAAAAGGACCTGAGCTAGGTTGAGGCTAGACGCTAAAGGAGCAGCACCAGCCAGACCAAGGCCTGGAGCTTAGAATCCATTTCGGAGACTGGCGACGGATATACTACGCTGCGCTTTCTAGCAGCCTGCAGAACAAACTCTGTCCGCCTTGTCTCTGTCTATTCTTGCCTATCGTTCGGGATTGGCTTTCAGGAATAGCTGACCTGAGACTCGCCGATAATCATTCTCAATTCGCGCGAAACCAGGAATTGTACAAAACATCAACGGCCTTCAGTTTCATTGGATACGCTATCGACCTTTGTCTCTTTGCTCGGTATACTGCAAGATACGCCGGTTAGCAAGCAGGTTGGGGGCATCTTCAGGTACCGTGAATACGAGTTCCTGGGGTCGGATGCCTCGCGACAGGGATCGCAAGCGCCGTCAAAGGGGACCTCTTATCCTCGCCCACTCCTACACTGGTGTGTGCATTGACCATTCTCCGTCTCGTCTCCTCTTCCCCCCGCAATCCTCTATCACGTCTTATCTTGCTGGCCTCCCGTGCTACGCTTGCCGTTGCGGCGACCGGGTGGGATTTCCGTCTATCGTATGTCATCAGTCATGGAGACGGTTTTTATTTTTATTTTATTTTTTAGTGTCTCTCGGTGATGCAGACCGGATATTGTCGATAAGCGCGCTGAATCGGACGAGACATGAATTTCGAGAGCTCGTTTAAACATGGCCCGTATGCTAGACCTCCTTCTATGTCAACTCTTAGATTCGAACTACTCCGCATTTTGCTCTCTTCTCCCCCAACATCGGCAAAGCAACACGCTGTACGTACACACAGGCCGTCAAGCACAATTCAACTCTGGAGTAGGGAGAATGGGTGAGTATGCAATCCCCCTCTGAAGACTGGACGACCAGGACCCTTGTCACATCGACCGGCCACATCTTGACCAGAACAACCTAAAATCGTGGGCAAGCCAGGCAAAGGCAAGGTACCTGGAACCCTGGACTGTGTACCTGCAATGAGATGGGTATTCCCTCTCTCACCAGGGACCCCCCTGCTCTTCAGACATCTGGCAACGGACCCGCTGATCTGCTCATCTTCATCCTTCCACTCTCTGTCCTCACTCGCTCTCTCTCTGCCCTTGGTCCCTCTAAAGCCTTGCCTACCGTTATTAGTTATGTCTTTCAGGCTCACCATTCCCCATCCACTAAGATCGGGAGAATGGCCAAAAAGCTAGTGACGAGGCGAGGCACACACCCCAAGCGTTTGCCCTTCTCACACACCCATTCAGGCCGGCTCGCCTTCACGTAGGCTTCTCTCCTTCGGTCGACGTCGCCGCCCCTGGTCTCCCCTACTCTACATTTTCTTTCCCCCACCCCCGTCGTTGTTCTCAAGTTGCCTCCTGCCCCCCCGTCCACGCACATGATGTACTTCCATACTGTTGTACAATTCCGCATCCCTCCCCCGGACGGGTTGCTTGGTGAGGTCCATGATCCATGCCCGCCGCTTGTATATCTCCAGCCAATCTCTCATCCATGCAACCATTGGTTGCCAACGAGCACGCTCAACACGGCTCGATCCATTTATACACTCCTCCTCCCCAAATCTTGCCTGACTTGAGGTATCACCGTGTCTCTTGACTTTACCCGTTTACCTACTTTCGGTATTTTACTTCTGCCTGAAGTAGAACTCCCATCTTTCCATATTAAAGCCTCTTTACCCACTCCATACGAAGTCTTGTTGCCCGCCCGCATCCGCTTGCTTCCATCTTGACCGGCAGCCAGCCACGCATATGCGCCACCAACATACTTGAAAGTCGATTCGCCTCCCAACTTCAAAAGATGACCGCTCCTATAACCCAACAACAGTCCGCTCAAGCAAAGGATGCCGCTGCCGCCGCCTCTGTTCGCAAGAGGAGGAGACGCGCTCCCGCTGGCGGTGCCGCTGACGACTGTTTCACCTGCTCCAAGAGAAACGTCAAGTGTGATCGAAGACGGCCTTACTGCTCACAATGTCTCGAGATTGGTAACGAGTGCTCTGGCTACAAGACCCAACTGACATGGGGAGTCGGTGTCGCCAGCAGAGGCAAGCTTCGCGGCTTGTCTCTCCCCATTGCAAAAGCGCCCCCAGTCGCCGGTGTTGCAAAGAAGTCACCTCCGCGGCCCCGCGCCAACTCAACTGCCACCTCCGCTGGCTGGGCAGATGCCGAGGATTTGTCTCGAAGGAATATGCGCGATGATGGCGGCTTCTCCCCAGAACACGTTGGCTCGGCCCCGACCACGCCTTACCCTCACAACTACGACTTCCTCTCCATGTCACATCCTGAGCCCGCATCCTCTCTTACCACAGCGCACTGGAACAACCTTTCATATTCTAGCAGTATACCAACCGAGGGGCCCAACTATCGTAAGCTGGGCGCTCACCTCGGACCGATTCCCATCTCGGGGGCCCTGTCTTCGTCCCTCGAGTCCGTGAGTGATGCCGATTACATGTCGCCCATTAGCCACTCATATTCGAGAGACGATATCCCTTTCCTGCACAGCCCTACAGTTTTGTATGATGGTTACAGCGCCCACGGCTCGCCGAATCCTCAGAGCCCCATATCCGCCATTCTCATTGACCAGCGCGCCCCAACGTCCTGTCCGAGCCTTGTGTACGCACCATCCGAACAGGGTTCAAGCCTCACGTCGCACATGGACAACTTCGAGAGCCAGCTGAGTCAGAAACTGATGCGGGAGTGTGATACTCTAAGTGAGACGACCTGTCCGGCTCTGCTGTAGGATCAAGCTCGCTGACGTGACGTCTATAGGCGTTCCCGAGATGGATGCGTACAGCACAAGCTGCAACTCGAGCGGCCACGTCTGGACGTCACCGCCCCCCGAAGAGATGTCTCCGCACCATTCTGATCACCAAACGTCGGCTCAGTGGCCGACCATGTTCGAGCCTCAGGCCGTTCATGTCAACCCCGACCTCGTCGCCAAGATGCCATTTTTCATGGACTATTACAAGAATATCATGTGCCCTTCCATGGTCTTCATTGACGGACCCGGCAACCCATACAGAGAGCACATCCTTCAGTTGGCCCAGAACAGTCAGAGTTTACAGCATGCCATCTGTGCCCTGTCTGCCTGCAACTTGCGGATGAAGCGGAGACTTAGTCTGGGTCAAGATACCCGGGAGCTTTCCGAGAAGCTCATGGCCGAGAAATCGGGCCCTGACTCATTGACAGATGCACAGCCCGAAGACCAGTCTCTCTCTGAGGAGTACCAACATCGGAATCTCGCAGTGCATCTGCTCAACCAGCAGCTCAATGACCCAGCCAAGTCCAGCCATGACTCTGTTCTGGCAACCATTCTGTTGCTGTGTCACTACCGCATGGTCGAGTCTGGCATTGCAAAGTTTCATACACAGTTCGCTGGCGTCAAGAAGATTCTTTCGATGCGCCGGTCGCAAAACCTCGCACCATCCCGCGACTCTGCATGGATGGAAGCCATTTTTACATATTTTGACGCCATTTCAGCGAGCATCAATGACCGAGAGGCACAGCTCAACACAACATTCTACGGAGTCATGCCCGATGCTCAACTGCTTCCTCCTGGTGCTGAGAACATGGTTGGTTGCGACCGTGAGCTCTTCAAAACCATCAGCAGGCTCGGCAGACTGAACCTTCTCTCCCAACACCGAGCGGTTCAAAACCCCTTGACGCACAGCATCCCGTCGAGGTCTCAGTCACCGCTTGGCTCGCCATTGGCCCACGCTTACAAGGGAAGCCTCAACAGCTTGCATCAGCAGCAATTGAGCGATGCTTATAGCATGTCTAGCCACCGTTTCGACGGCAATGGCTTCGGTTCGACCCTAGATGAGGACGAATTCCTGTGCTCCCCAGTGACTTACGAGGACCACCGCAACAACTTCTGGCGGGAGTGGAGGGAGGCTCGCTTTGCTCTCCAAAGCTGGGAATTCGACTCAGCGCGTGTTCTCGCCTCGCTCCCCACCCCGGCCACCACCGCTCAAGTCCGCGATCTGGGCTCGTTGTCGGAGGCGTTCCGCTACGCCGCGCTGCTCTACACGGAGCGGCTGGCGTCGCCAAACGTGCCTTCAACGCACAGCAGCTTCCAGAACCTCGTGTCTCAAGTGGTCTACTACGCCACGAGTCTCGAGGCCGGCAGCTCTGCCGAGAAGTTCCTATTGTGGCCGCTCTTTGTGGCGGGTAGCGAGTGCGTCAACGAGCTCCAGCAGAACATTGTTCGGAGTAAATGCCGCGACATCATGGCCCGTTCTGGTTACATGAACAACCTAGCGGCGCTAGATGTGCTGGAAAGGCTCTGGGCCGGCGAATGGGAGAAGAACGAGCCGCGGAGCCCCGCGGCGGTAAAGCTCGAGGCGATGCGCAGAGGTCCGTTCAACTGGACTAGGTGCATCGGCGGGCCCGGGGTTGAAGTTGAGTGGATCATGTTTTGAGGGTAACAAAAAAAAAAGAAAAAAGAAAAGAAAAAAGCGAGGTGAACAGGGAAGAGGTGGAACGGAGATGTCGGCTTGGAAAAAAAGTACACGAGTCAAGCGCGCGCAGGTGGTCGGAGAGCGCGATGTGTGGATTTGTTTTTTGGATTTTTTATTTATCATCCCCTCGGCGGCAAGCTGGGCTGGTCACGATTGATGAGAGGGGAGGGGAGAGAGATCTATGGACCTGATCTATCTGTAACTGTATAATAGTCACCGCAACACATGATGCATATTTATGATAGGGCGTATAATATGGGAAGGGAGGAGGAACTGATGCGTTGTTATTTTTTTTTTTTATGGACAGGCAGAGCCTTGGGAGGAAAGGGGGTCGGGTGGTGGTTCTGATGAGATGAGGAAAAAGATGATGAAGAAAATGGGAGGAAATAGTTTAATTGTTAAGCTAGCCAGCCTCAGGAATACAGCACCATGAAAGGCGCAAACTTGTCCAGCCGAAGAGTTTTATGTTTTTGACAATGGATTTCCGAGATGTAAATCGGGCATAATTTCACAGTGGGATAATTTCATCATATTGAGGGCTCGGGGCGGTCCATCTTGTTAAAGCAAGATGCCGAACGGAAAAAAGGGGCGAGCAGACAGGAAAAAACACCACAAAAAGAGAGTTTTGGGAATTTTTGGGACTAGAGTAATTTACAAAGTGATGGATGGACCTGGGCCTGGACTGACTAGGTCCATAGAGAGAAAAAAAAAAAAAAGAGCATGCGCGGAGGCCCCATGAAGAATTGCGACAAGAGAAAAAGAACGAGGTTCGACGACGGCGACGGCGATTGCGTGCTTGGTTGTTTGTGCCGGGCTGGGCTCCGTTTGAGGGGGGGATGAGCCGTGGTACCTGCGTCGCTGTACCTTACCGACAACCGCCGGGCGGGCGGGCAGCGGGTGAAGGAGGGCGGATCTTCGCTCAGGGTCCAGCGGCAGCAGCAGCAGCAGTAGAAGGAGGAGGAGACGAAGTGGGAAGAGGAGGAGGAGGAGGAGGAGGAGGAGGAGGAGGAGGAGCAGCAGCAGCAGCAGCAAGTCAGTAACATACAGGTAGCAATCCAGCAACGCAAGATGCCGATTTCAGTATCTCAACGTGCCATTGCGTTGAAGCTAAGCAGCGAGGCTGGTTGACCGGGGTGTGTTTGCGGAGGAGCAGGATTGGGGATGGAAGGGGTGTGTGGTAAGAATTGTGTGAGGGGTGGGATGGCATGGGGATACGAATTAGAGAGGAGGAGGAGGAGGAGAAGAAAAAGACAGAGAGTGAGTATCCGTATGGAGGGAGTATCAGTGAATGAATTGTGAGTGAGGGACGGTGAAAAGAGGGTTTTGGTGGCTTTTGCCTCCCGTTCGTCCCGGTTTACTACGTAGGTCGGGGCTCCACATGAGGGGTAGGGAGGGGGGAGCGTTGAGCCAGTCGCAATCGCTCCAAGCGCCGTTAAGGGAGAGCATGCGGGAGGCGTATGTGGGCGGCGGCGGCGGCGGCGCGCGATCCATCGTTATTTTATTTTATTTTCCCCATGTGTCTGGACTGACCTTGCCCAGTCCAGTGTGCGCGAACAGGGGGGGTGGATGGACGAGAAAGATGTGGAGGAGGGTGTATCTGTCGGATGACCCCGTATCTTTGATTACATGTGCGTAGTACGTACGACGAAAGAAAGGTAAAACGAAAGATTCCTATCTGTGATAATCTGTGATAGAGAATGGAAAGTCAAACAAGGAGGGAAATGCGATACGGAGAAACTAGGGCAGCTGTTTCGCTTGGGGTTGAGGCGCCCCGATTGGGATGAGGACGTGAGGTTTGAGAGATGCCGGATTTGGGGGATAGGAAAAATATCCGTACCCTGTAATGTCTGTGCTGTCAGCCTTTCCTGTGTTACCAATAAGTCAGTTAGTCATTCATTCAGTCAGCCTGCCAGTCAGCCAGGCAGGCAGTCTTTCATTCAGTCATCCGTCATCGTAGTGTAGGACCCTGAGGTGGTTCTGCTTATGCTCCGTCCGCCTTACGTGATCGTGGAGAGACAGAGACAGAGCTCGGTTACACCAGACCGAGGCAAGGAGATCAGCTGGAATTAACATCCGCCTTATTCAGGATTTACAACGCTAAAGCTCCATGTCGCTACGACGCTGAGAAAAGGGTCCAGCGAGACTCTGACAGCCTGGATTACCCTAGACCAGAAGTGGGAGTGAGGGAGGGGGCACGATGCTTGCGTACTAGTGGTGGCATGGAGTTAGTTTAGTTCATCGGAACGTCAAAGTACCTTGGGGAAGAGAGCAAGTACCTCTGCCAAAGAGACGGATATGCCATAGTGTAGTGCACATATAGGGAAGTGAGCGAGACGACCGCAGAGAGCAAAAGAGGAAAAGAAAAGGACCGGGGAGGGGACGGATCGAGGACCACATCGCACGGGGTAAAAGTATCCAGACCCGGGCCTGCCTGGCCAAAGTTGACAAGCAGCCGGCCATGCCAAGTGAGGAAAGGAACGGTGAGCAGGGGTACAGAATTACAGGGGGGGTGATTGCAGCATGTCGGCGGGCTGGCTGGGGAAACAGCTTAGTGTGGTGTACCACGCAGCAGGCACTTGAAGAGCCCACTCGAGCCAAAAAAGTTCCATGTGGGGGTGATAAGGGAGCGTTCGGGCCAAGAAGACAGGGGTTTGAGCAAGTATGATTGGCGAACCGCACGCGGGACTGGACGGGCGTTTGTGGTCTTCGATCTGGCGGCGCAAGTCTAGCAGGGGTGGGGCTGGCTGGCCTCAGTTAGTGTACTTGCCTTGTAGAACAACAGGGGGAAGGATATGGGATGAAAGTTAGTATACAAGGGTACAGGGAGTTTGTTAACGAGTTGGAGTCACACACACACATACATACATACATACATACACTACAAGTACGCGCAGAGAAAGAGAGCACAAGCGAGGACCAGGGGGCGGCCAGGGTGATGATGATGATGAGGAGGAGGAGGAGGGGGAGAAATGACAGACCAAGTGAGAGAGTGACAGTCTGGCTTATGGGCAAGAAACTCCGTGATCAAGGCCCCCCCTCCCCCTCTCTCTAACCCCCTGGTTGCCGAAGCGAAGGGTGAACAGGGGAAGTCGAGTCGAGGCGGTGGCGATTCCCGCCCGCTCTGCTTGCTGCGAACTATACCTAACCTTACGGAGAGTACCTTACTATGCCACATACAGAGTATCCGTACTATACTTCACCGCGGCAATGCTATGCTATTGTGGTAGACGCACATATATGCTCCCCAGGGGGTCACCGCACCATGTAGCGTGCTATGTAGTTAAATCATGTCGGTGTCTGTTTCTGTCGCCGGACCAGGGTCCGGGGCGGCTCCCCTCCCCCCCATGACACCCCCCATTACCGTTAGTGGACATGGTAAATGTCATTCGAGCGACGGAGAACGACGGAGTAAGGCGGCCCACGTTCTTCTCTTCGTCTGCATCCTTGTCGTGCCTGCGAACGATAGCAAGCCCGCCTGGTTGGCCCCGGGACCAGAGGCTGACTTGTGCAAATTAGTCCGTAGCGACGAAAACTGACACGGCGGGATGTGAGATGATGGCCGCGTGGGGGGGGGGGAGGCCAGTCTTGCGGTCTTTTCCATCGTTATTTTTTGTGTGTGTATGTGTGTGTGTTCTATTAATTCCCTCGTTGGATGAAAAACAAGACAAACGTAGATATGATGCTGTTATCCTGCTATCTGCTTATCACTGCCAGTCGTCGTGGCCCCCCCTTCCCCCCTTCCCCCCATGGCGTGGTTATCACTTTAATCCCTCCCCTCCATCCTCGCTCGCTTGAGGTCATCGCCGTCGGAAGGGTGGAATCGAGATCGTAGAGAAACACACCGATCAACGCCCGTCCACGCCCCCCCCCGGCCGAATGACGACAGTCGGTGAGTAAGACCTAAAGAAATCGCTGCGTATGCGTATGCGTATACGTACGGGATACGGTGGATTATACAGTAGCACACTACATAGCATAGCATAGCATAGCATCTCATCCCCTTGACATTTTCGCAATGCACCCGTGCCGAGTTCCATCTTGGTCCAGGGCCTCGAAACACAGTCATAGTAGTTCTATGTATATACACTCCCGGGTTCTGAAGCCGATGGTGCAGATTAAAAAATGACAAACTGAAATATCCAAAGGGGTTTGAAATCCGTGACCCTGAAAAAGCACGCAACTTGGGTTCCACCATCGCGAACAGAAACCCCGACATCAAAAGACAGACATAGAAAAAAAAAGAGTTTCAAGAATCGGGTTTGTCGGTATAAAGGCAAAGCGAGCCGAGGACCCTGTCGTGGCCAACAAAAAAAAATGCGTGATCCGCCAAGTCGCGTGCTTATTTTTTTTTAGTTTTTTTTTTTTCTGTTCTTTTGTTCCACGTCAGGGGTCCGGGATCAGGTTCTGAGTCTCTTGAAATCAAGCATCGCCAGCTGAAGAAGTCTAAAGTTTGTTACTTTATTTTGCTTTCTCCCCAATTATCCAACCTAATAGTAATACATTCGAGTGGGGTGTAAAAAACGAGGTCACCCATTCCAAACCTCACCCCCTAAAATTAAGCTATTTTACACCATCCCATCCCGCAGGGTCCTGCGATGCCCTTTCCACCACCATTCCCAACACCCATGGGCATAATTCGTCCCAGCCCAGCGGTTCCCCTGAGTGGGATAGGGAAAGGGGAAGGGGGCAAAAAAAAAACAAAAAAGACCCTGAGAAACTCAAGGGGGTCCGGCCCCAAGCATCAGCCCATCCGAGTCTATTAAATTTCCGGTAAACCTTTTTTTTTTTTTTTTCCCTCTCTTTGGTGTGCTCCATCGTACGTGGTATGAGCGTACTCCTTGTTCGCCTCTCGGTGCTTAGCCGCTCCATTTGAATCTGCTCTGTCTCAGCATATCCAGTAGACCCGTTGGCAAGAGTCCCTCGTCGACAATCACCAGGCTGCCGAACCTCGCAATCATGTCCTTCGCGTAGAGTCCGCAGATCCACTGCTCGTAAGCGCTGAGCCCGTACCAGCCGCCCGACGAAGACGACAGCGCCGTCGTCACGTCTCCCGTCAGCTCGATGGGCTTGTCCTTGGGCTTCTTCTGCAGGATCGTAAGCACGCGCTGTAGCCCCGTCGACGTGCGCCGCCGGTGTCGTGTGAACTCCTCGAAGCTCATGAACGGCTGGTCAAACAGACCCTGGACGCCCGGCGCCCGCATCAGCGGGTGCCCCTCTGACGCCTCGTAAACCTCCTTGTACCTGCGGTACGAGGTCTCCTCCTCCTCGAGGAAGTCGTCCATGGCCTTGCTCGGGTCCTCCAAGACGTTGTCGCGGATGAGGTACAGGTGAATAAACGGGTTCTGCAAGCCTAACCCACCCAGCGAGACGGGGAAGTACAGGTATCCGTCAGGGATGTCGACGATGCCGAACCTCTCGCTAATGAGCCGCCTGAGATGCCCGCCCGCCCCGCCGTCGCCAAAAAGCGTCTGCTGTATGCGGTGGAACGTCGCAAGCATGCTGTCCACGTGCGCCCGGGAGAAGCAGTTGGCGACCTGCCCGCAGTTGGTCGCGAAGAACCGCGAGCCGTAAATGTTCCACGCCTGGATCCAGTCGAACACGCTACCGCACGCCTCTAGCTGCAGGCGGAGCTCCTCAATATGCCCGTCAATCTTGTCCTGGTCCAAGACGAAACGCCCCGACGCGGGGTCGAGCTTGAGGAAACCCCATACCACGTCGCCCTTCGGTAGTGGCAGCCGCCCCTGGACAGACGGCTGCCCCGTGTTTTTGTTGTTTCCGTTGTCGTTGTCGTTGCCGCCGTCGTTACCCCGGGCCCTGATCCTGACGCTGCCCGTCTTGTCCTCGTTGAAGTCCAACCCCGTGAGCCGCACAAACTCGCCCATCGTCCTCCACGCCTTGCCGCACATCTCCTCGCCTCCCCATAGCCACATGTCGTCGTGCAGCCGGTACAGCCGGCACCCGTCGCCCTTTTGGTTGACGGCGAAGTCCATGCAGAAGAGCACCGTCTCCGAGAGGAAGTCCGCCAGTGGCGTCGATAGGGGCACGCCCCTCTTTCTGGACTGCGCGGGAGCGTCTGGGGGATCCTGCTTGAAGCGGTGGGGAGCCTCGAGGATGCGTCGGAACAGGTCGACCCATTCGGCCTCGACGCCGAAGAACTCGAGCACCGCAAAGATGGACGAGTGCGGCACGCTCGGCCCGAACCATTTAAGGTCCGATCTGATCACCGTGATGTCGCTGCCGAGCCCCTGGTGGATGATGATTTCGGACTGGATGAGGTGCAGCAGGCTCTGCACCACGTCAATGTGCGACTTCCGGCTATCGTCCTCCCTCCCGTCGTCGACGCTGTCCGAGTTGTACCCGCCCCTCCGCTCCCCGTGAGTCTGCGGTAGCTGGTCCAGCAGGATCTCTTCCCTCCAGTGCTTCGCCAGCTGGTTCTCCATCGAACTCTTACTCTCTACGTACCCCCTGTCGCCCAGCTTGAGGAAAAACCGCCACCGCAGCACCTCCTCCTTGGTCATGGGCTTCGACGCCGCCCTCTGCACGCCGTAGCGGCTCAGAAACGACGTCAACACCTCGCGCATCTTGACCCCCCATCGCGTGCCGATGTGGTGGATGAAGATGGACTGCAGCAGGTCCTCGTCCGGGAAGAAGCGATAGCGCCCGTTTAGCTGTCGCCGCTGCTCGACCATGACGTCGCCGTCCCACGCCCAGTTCTGCCGCGTCTGCATCCGCATGTTGAGCACGTCGGCGATCTCGCGGAGGACCACCTTGTTGTTGAGGAAGTCGTTGAGGATCGTCCGCTTCTGGTCCGTGAGGATGTTGATGCGCAGCAGGCCCCGGATCGTGTCCTCGAGTGAGTTCTCGTCAAAGTGCGGCTGGTCGTCCCACCGCTCCTGGAACGTCTTGAGCGTCTCCTTGAGACTCGTAAACGCACTCTTGACGTCCTTTGACTCGCAAAAGAGCTGTTCCAGGTACCCCTTGATGGCCGCGCCGTCCGTCTCCTTGGCCTTGAACACGTAATCCTCCCACGTCGCGCGCTGCGTGTGCATCTCCTCCCTGCCGACGGGGACGAACCCGGACTCGGCGTTCTGGTCTTCGGCCTCACCGGCTGAGATCCACTCATTCACGAGCTTGCCGTACAGCTCGGCGAAGCGGTACTTTGCTGATTCCACGTCGAGCCCCTTCCGCACGGCGTCCTCGTACTCGCGCAGGAAGTCCTCCGATATGCAAGGGTCATACTCGGCCTGCTTGACGAAGCGCTTCAGGTTGTCGACGGACGTCTGGTGGCCGTCGGACAGCTGGGACATGGCCGGCAGCTTCTCGACCTGCTCAACCAGGAGCTTCGCCCGCTTGCGGTGGCTCGTCTCGTACGCCGCATCTTCCAGCAGCGCCCGTTTACCGGACTCGAAAGCCGCCTTCTGCTTGTCCAGCTGGTCGAGCTTCACGCTCGTGATGGTGTAGAGAGTCTTGGACAGAACATCCGAGGACGCCATGTTGTTTAGTGATAGGGTCGTGAATGGGACGGCAGAAGACGGCTGTTTGTTTTTGTGGTGATGGTAATGGTGATGCTCTTGTATCGTTCGGATTGATGTGATTCCGGTCAACTTGGGCTGTCTATATACCACTGAAGTTGGGCTGAAGATGGTTGTGGCTGTAATTGAGGCCATTTCCTTTTGCCGTATGACTGGTCCGACTGGAATGAGACATGGTCCTGCTTTCCTTTGTTTTTTTTTGGCCTCGTTCGGGGGCTTGCGCTTGGCTGTTGGGGGGGAAAGTGGCGCTCGCAGTGAGATGGCTGAGGCCAAAAATGGCCTCAGTGGAGATATCCATCTCATGACTGCTGCGGTTGAGGGTAGATGAAAAAAAAAAAAACCGTGTACGTATATACATATATTACATATGAAGGTCTTCTTCAATTTAAGAAGTACATACCGTTATGAGTGAGGTGTGTGAAGAAATGATGAGATACAATAAGAGAACAACCCTTCATACCTGGGGCTGTTCGTCGAGACCGAACAGCTCTTGTGAAAGTAGCAGTGTTAGTGACTGATCACTACTAATGTGATCCTCTCGGCAACTCAAAGCATCCTGCACTTGCATCGACTTTGGTTCTGTGTGAGATCTCAAAAAGAGTATCTCTGGATGATAATCTCGAGATGAGCGTCTCATGGCGATTATTTCCAATCAGGCTGGGGATGCAGATGCGCCGTTCTTTAAGACGAACAGGATGAGGGAAGCAAAGTGCGCTAACGACACCGACATCGGCAGTGACGTGATTGCGAGGTTGTGCCGCTGGTGGGTAAAGATAAGAAGGCATACGCAACATTCGGGGATTAGTTGCCAATGAATTGGCGGCTGTTTTGCCCTTCCTGAGCAATTTTCTGCTGTGCCTCTCGAGACAGGGCAATATAAATGCGCTTATCTCGAACCCTTTCTGGGGTAATGGTGCCTGCCTTAGCAAGCCTTCATCAAGAGCGCACGCGACAATTGGCTACCTGCGCCGAGTCCGCTCGACCCTTTACCCGTTGCAGGTAGACGGCCGGGGGCCTAAAAGCTGGGGGAGTGCCGAGTTTCGGCCATGTTGGAAGGGTGCTGCTGCGGAGGATGCGCTATAGCAAATAGTATAGGCAAACAGCAGCCCCCCGCCAGCAATCAATTTGTCCATTGGCTGCCTATCAATTAGTCAGAGTTCTTTCTCCAGTTTGCTGACAATAGTAGCAAGTCCAGCAACATTGCCTAGCACGATGAACGCATCCATTTCCTAGACAGAATATGTAGGGAAATCTGAAAGATTACATAACGTGGGGATTTGCAAACCGTGCATTGTGCATTGTTAGTGCCATTTCCGTAGATAGCCGAAAAGGCGTGCATGTCAAAGTCAATGACACATCCGACAACAGAGTTTCCTTCTCCTGTTTCACTCACTCACTGTCAAGGATTCATCATTACATCGGCGAGATACCTCTCGGAGTAAGTAGTCAGGTTAAACCATGGCTGTGGACGAAGAACAACCCCGGCTAGCTGCCAACGGCTCTCACAACTCGGAGACGACGCCTTTGCTCAATGGTAGTGTCAATGGCAACGCCACAACTACGAGTAACACACCCGCCGCCAATGATGAAGAGACGACCGTCATTGCCGAGACCATCTCCGGCGGCCGCCTGGCCTTGATCTTGGGAACCTCGTACTTTGGCGTCTTTCTTGGCGCAATTGATAGCACAGTGAGTTTGGAATTACTGACCCATGCCGTCGGCTGCACTGATGTTAACACAAGACCATCATAGATCATTGCAACTCTTTCCGGCCCCATCTCCAGCGAGTTCAAGTCTCTCAGTCTGCTAAGCTGGCTTGCAACCGCCTATCTCATCTCCAATGCCGCCTGCCAGCCCATATCCGGCCGGCTGACCGACATCTTCGGCCGCGGCCCCGGTCTCGTCTTTTCCAACGTCGTCTTCGCCGTCGGCAACCTCATCTGCGGCCTCGCCCAGACCCAATCCGTCATCATCTTCGGCCGCGTCGTCGCTGGCATCGGCGGCGGCGGACTCATGTCCATCTCCACCTTCCTCGGCTCTGACCTCGTCCCCCTGCGGAAACGCGGCATCATCCAGGGCATCGGTAACATCGCCTACGGCTCCGGCGCCATGCTCGGCGGCGTCTTTGGCGGTCTAATCAACGACCACACCGCCTGGGGCTGGCGCCTCGCTTTCCTGGTCCAGGTGCCGCCCATCCTGCTCTCCGCCGTCCTCGTTGCCGTCCTCGTCAAGGTTCCGCCCAAGGCCTCCGACAAATCCTACCTCGCACGCATCGACTTCACCGGCGTCTTCCTGACCATATCCTTCCTCGTGCTCCTGCTCCTCGGCCTCAACGCCGGCGGTAACCTCGTCCCCTGGGTCCACCCCCTGCCCCTGACCACCATCCCCCTCTCCTTCGTCGCCTTCGGCGCCTTCCTCTACTGGGAGAGCAGGGTCAAGCAGCCCATCATCCCCGTCCGCCTGCTCGCGAACCGCACCATCCTCTCCGCGTGCCTGACGAACCTGCTTTGCACCATGGTCATGATGATGTCCGTCTTTTACGTGCCGCTGTATCTCCAGGTCAACGGGCTGTCGGCCACCGACGCCGGCCTGCGCATCCTGACCTCCCCGCTCGGCGTGTCCTTCATGTCCATCGGCGCCGGCTACGTCATGAAGAAGACGGGAAAATACGTCATCCCGGGTATCTGCGCCCTCGTCATGTTCAACATCGGAATCATCATCCTCACGCAGTTCGGCAAGGATACGCCCGCCTGGATCATCTACATTGTCTTCTTCCTCGTGGGCGGTGGCTACGGAGCAATGCTGACCATCACCCTGCTCGGCTGCATCTCTGCGGTCGAACACTCCCAACAAGCCGTGGTCACATCGTCGACGTGTAAGTGAAACCTCCTCCCCCCCCCCCCCCCCTTTTTTTTCCCTCATTACAAAGAGACAAAAGTACTTCCCAACCGCAACACACCCACTAACAAACCGCAGACCTAGCCCGAAGCCTCGGCGGCACGGTCGGCATCACAATCGGATCCGCCGTCTACCAGAACGTGCTCAAGAGCCGCCTCTGGGACCGATTCGGCGACTACCCCAACGCAGCCGAGATTATCGGGCGCGTCAGGGACGACCTCGACGAACTGAAGCACCTGCCCCCCGGGTGGAAGACGGGCGTCATCGACTCGTTCATGGAAGCCTTCCGGAGCGTCTGGTTTACCATGCTCGGCATGTCTATTCTCGCTCTCATCTTCATTTCGTTGATGAGGCAGCACGTGTTGCACTCGAACCTGGAAAGACGGTGAGTGGCCGCATGTATACGTTGTGCTGTGTATTGTAAGCAGCGGAAGTTGGGTAGGACAATGTGGGGTGTTGAAAAGTCCACATTATTACCCCGATGATTGCCTGTCAAGAGGATTCTGGCGCTTACTCGGGTGGACGCGGTGATGGCTGGATTTAAAAGTTTTCATGACTGCATTTGCATCGATACAATACTCTACAATAAATAGACATATAAAAAAAGTTAGGTATCTGGTATCTTGAGCTGCTTGCATACTTCTCTACCAGTAAATGTGTGCGGTATTGCACAGGACTGGTACTACTTGACGCTCATGTGGCAGACTCATGTGGCAGATACGGTAGGCTCAGACGCCAGCCAACCGTTCTAAGATGTCACAGTAACTTGATATTGCATCTCTCTTGGCGAGAATCGGTCTATGTAATAGTGTAGACTGCATATGATATCATCACAAAATATAACACTGGTAAATCGACTATATTCAACGCACGCCGGACACAAGCTAGTGTAAACAGTCATTTACGACCGTGAGACAGGAGCCGAACATAGGTCCAGTCCCTGCACCAGCCCGTGTCCCACCGTACTGACACGATATATCTCAGGCATACGCCAACGTATTGTCGTCCCGAATTCTTCCAGCGACCTTGATAGACGTCTCACTGCCTGCGACAGAGGGGCCTCTGACGAAAATCTGTTCAAAGGCATTAGCTTCCGCTTATCAACTTAACATGGTCTTCAACTTACCTCTCCCTGGTAATCTTGGTCTGCGTTCTTGTTCTTCTCCGTATCTCTCAAAAGGATCTCAGTGCTTGTGACGGGAGGGCCAAAGTGCGACTGGGCATCATCCTGAACTCTGTAGTCGTAAAAACCAGTTTGGGCAACAGCGCCCGCGACCTTGGGCGCCGTGAGAGCGTAGATGATCCTGGCACCCAGGAACACACGCAGATCAGAAAGCACCCGCGAGGACAGCGGTGGCGAGTCGGCTCCGGCTCTGTCCGCAACGTAAACCAGTCGCAGCTTTCCAGGGGTGGTACCAATCGCGGGGCGAGACGCGCTGTTGAACTTGGCGGCCGCAGAGGCAACGGGCATAACACCACTATCCGTCAGGCTGCGGGACTGGGCCCAGTGAGCGACCTTGGCGATGGCAGAAGTCAAGCGGTTGGTGGCTTCCTTGTGGGTCCTCAACAGAGTCTCGGGGGTAGCTACGAGCACCGTAGGAGCCACACCTTGAGTGGCCAGAACCAAATCGGGGGACCGTCCTGCAACAGAGTTGAAAGCAACAGACGCGTTCGAGTACAGGGCAGCAAGCGTCAGAGTGAGGGTGTGAATGTTCGTCAGAGAATCAGCCGCCAGAAAGAGGTCAGACGGACCGAGGCGTTGCGTTGACGGGATTGCAGCAAGCTGACCAGCTACTCCGGACACCAAGTTGGACTGAGTGAACCGCACCATTTCTTCCAGGGTTCCGGGCTTAGTCTGCCAGAAAGTAATGATCTCCCTGGGCTCAACCTCCTTGTCAACAGCAGGCAGCTCCCTTCCAATGCTGGCAGGCGCCTCGTGAACGATGTCCTGCCAAGTTGCAACGTTAACGCTGCCTCCTGTGCCCTCGGGAACCTCGTTCCAGTCCATATGGCTGCTGCCTTCATCCACAACCCAGATCAGTTGGCGGAGAGAGGGATAGGCCTTAACGACGGGGTCGAAGGGGAACGCGCCAGGCGCCGTAACAAGGGTATCCGCAGCAGAACGACGAAGCATCATGATCAGTTCCTCGTCAGATACGTCAAATGGAATCAGAATGGCCGTGAGATTGGGGTAAAAGCTGCAGGCGAAAAGAGCCACTAGCAACTCAATGGAGTTCGGCAAATAGATGGCAACGCGAATACCGCCCTGCTCGTGGATGTGTTGCCCAATAAGGTTGATTTGGCGAGTAACATCGTCTTTGTGTCGTTAGACATTGAAATAAGTGAGATCGACGTGCAAACTCACCGAGTTGATGCTCAACGACGTTCTCGCTACCAAGAACCGTCAGTAGACGCCCTTTAGCTCCAGCAGGCTTGCCGTCGTCGCCTGATCCTCCAGTCGCAGCCCGTCTCCAAATATCCCGAAGGTCTCCATCACGTCCTCTCGACCACTTGGAAGCACCGGGATCCTTAACGTTGAGTCCGCTGTTGAGAGGCATGCCGTGAGGGGAAGAGTGGGATCGGTAAACGGGAGATTCTCCTTTTTGTCGGACTGGTGAACCCTGAGCCTGGCGCGCAAGGAGCATAGGATGAGTATCGGGGTCCTGGCTAGAAAAGATTCGATAAGAAACGATAATGACTAGCAGGGTAACGAGGGCGGTGGTGTATGTATTCCATTGTCCGAAGAAGCCTGACACGGCCTCGTCCAGCTGGAGCATGATGTTGTCGAAGAACCCCATGATGGGCGGGCGCGATCGTCCAGAGTATTCGTCGTTTCGAGTCGCAGGCGTCGGTTATGATGGATGCGCGTAACTAGAAGAGCAAGTAAACAGGTGGCTTTACGTGACCCGCATGGAAAGCTCGGGGGGGTTAAAGAGAGGAAAAAACATGAGGCAGTGCCGGACCTCAAGCTCGGAAGTTTCGTGGTGAGGTGGGCTTCGCTGACAGTCGTTTGGCGGGGAACACTGACATACCCCCCGGCTGTGCTGACTTGGGTGAGCTGGACGGGAGGGACCCTAGGGGGGAGCATGAAGTGCTCTGCCTCTAGCTACGCAATCCGCGGCCTGAAAATCCCCGGGGTTTGGGGGAAGTTCCAAGCCTTCCCGTACCTAAAACAGGCACAACAAGTACGTACCACACCTCTAACAGCCGGCACCCGTGGGATCTGTGCGCCACGAGCGCCCCACTATAACAGAGCTGAAGGCAGGTATCCACTTTATTCAAAGTGCAACTGACCGCTTCTGCCGGTTGCTGTGGCCCCCCTTTGTGGCTGGTGCATTGTTTTTCTGCCAGTCCTTCCACAAGACGTTGCGACCTGCATCTGCTCATGCCCATCACCAACTGTCAACTCAACTAAGAAGCGGCGCATTGAACCACGCTCGCGCTTTGCGACAGCGCAGCGTCGGAAACGAGGAGTTACTAACATACTACAGGTTCTCGAAAGAATTGAATTGGTAGGGCGTCATGAATCGAGATTGCGTGAATCTTCAACAAGGCTGACGTGGTAATGGAACAGGCCTTGACCTTGACGCCCTACATCGATATCCATTTCCGGCTTGGAATTTTATAGCAGACACGACAACCAAGATGTCTTCTTCAGTAAGCAGGGCAGACATTCGCACACCTGTCAAATCTACACCACAGAAGCCCACGGCTGTCGTCGATAGCCCAGGCACTTGGAGGCATCCCCGTCTGAACGAGATTACGAGACGGCGCAATGCCACTACATTTTCCGAGAAGAACGTGAGAAGCATCGCGCTCAACATTGCCTTCCTGGTCAGCTTGTGGCTCTCGCAGGTTCTCGCACGATCTTACATCCCCGCGCAGTGGTATGTTTGGCCCCTTGGCTTGCAAGTCAAAGCGGTTCTGACCATCAACAGGTTTAGCGCTTCTCTGCGATTCTACCTTGGCTGGGCGTACTATGCGATCCAACTCATTCCCCTAGGCAACATCGGCATGGCCATGCTGCCACTTTTCCGGCCCGCTGACGACCTTGCCGACATCCCTCTGACACCCGCTCAGCGCAAGCTCCTCGGCCTGCCGCCTAGTGCAGCCACTGCTACGCCAGATGCTGTCTACAGCACCCCGCCGCGATACTCGCGAACTCCATCTCTGGCCGGATCTCCTGCAAGCAACCGCAGTTTCTCTGGCTCTCCTCTGTCAGGACGGGGCAGTCCTGCGCTCGGCTCGTCCTTGAACGGGCAATCTTACTCCCCTTCTCCTCTGAACAACAGCAACAACAGCCCCTCCAAGTTTTCGGCAAGCTTTAACAGCACCCGAAGGTCATCCTTTGGCTCTTCGACCAACTTGGGAGCGAGCACAAGCTCGTCCCTTTTCCCTGACCCTGGCACGCCTAGCCCTTCAGCTGGTAAGCGCACTAGTGTTGGCTTGAACAACAAATGGCTTTACGAGCGGGGAAGGCGGTCATCTGGAGGCACCTGGCTGCACTGAACATTTCTTCTTGTCATTTATCTCAAACGGCATGGTGTGATGCATTCGACGTAATTGGGACTTTTGAACCTTGGTTTGTGTACCAGCTTGGAGAAAGGCGTTGCAGGGTTCCCCTTATTAGGAATTTTCAGATGATGCATTGCTGTCTTCGATGCCTCTCTGGATAAGGCGGCCAAGTGAATGCCTTTCCAAAACAACAGTCGCGAGAAGAGCATAGACTGTAAATATATGCCAAGTTTCCATGACCTATCAGTACAAAGGAAACTGAGAATACAATAACTTTTATCTTTGGGACACTAAGATGGAGCCTATGTTACTTCGACAGTGTAGATCACGCGACAATCGAGATAATTTCGTATTAATCCGAGATGAATAACAATTTAAGCCATTGGAAAACATGCGACGACGCCTTTTGACCGGCTCGATGAGCTCCTTAAAGCACACATGTTTGTTCAAGAAACTACCAACCATAATGCGATATTGGATAATCCGGTGTTGCTGTCTGAAGGTATATGCAAGTACGTACCTCGGCACAGAGTGCAACTATGCAAATAGAATCCTACCCCGCTTTTCAATGTTAATTGGCTAGACACTATCAGCGACCCACCTTTCTGCTATTACGTAGCACCTGGAGCCTTTGGTCTGGAACCTTACACCGTCGTCCTCCAAAGCTTCCTCTCTTGTCAGAACGTTTCGATAGATATGATCGCTCTGTAACAACATGGGTGCCAGTGACTCGAAGCTTGTCTTCAAGAAAGGCATCTTCAGGCTGTCTGAAGAAAGACATATTCCAGCCGATGATGACTACTGGACCTCTGTACGCCCTCTTGCATCGTGTCATCTTCACCTGTAGTACTGACCAGATCGCGATAGTTTTGGGAGCTTCCCGAGTCGTCAGAAGATATCTTCAGCCTCTTCGCCCCCGCCGACATTCGTCGCACGAGAGACAATGCCCTCGAAAACTTAGAAACTCTGATACTCGCACTTACGTCTCGGTTGTTTATTTTACGCCACCATCCCTCATTTCCGGATCCTGAAATCGCTCCCGAACGGGACGCCCTCAATTGCATTCGAGTCCTGACCCGCATCCTCCCCTTCATCTACGAGGCAGACAATCTCCAGCAATGGGAGGAACGTTTCTTCTGGGGTACCAGGAGGAAGAGGACGAGGCAGTCGGCCATTGCCAATGAGATACTCTTCGACGGAGCGCAGGACGGCCAAAGATCGCCGAAACCGAGAACTGATACCGAGGACTTTGAAGACGCGAAACCTCTCGCTGAGGAACTCATCGACACTCTCCTTGATTTGCTCTTCTTCTCCGATCTCACTCTACCAAGGCAGCCCCATGGGCGTCCGAAAGTCACATACGCCATCTGGCAGAGTGGTGTTGGCTGCAACACCGCGGTAGCTACGACCAAGGAATACGAGAGTAATCGAAGTGAGATTCTTCGCCTGCTCATGACAATGACTAGTCAGAGTATGTATATGTCGCCGAATACCTTGCCACAAAAGGGAGTTCGCGCTCTTACACATATCTGCACGTGTGCCGATAAGCAGGTCGTGCTATCGGTCCTCTGCTCGCTCCTCAATACTGTAGGTTGAAGCCTTTTGACTTTTCTTACGTAGCCTCTGGAAGTCTTGCTTACAATGATAGACCCTAAAATACAACCCAGCTACTTGGCGTGTGCCTTACAACACGCTGGTTTTCAAGGATGAGAAGCAGATCCTGGTGACATACACCTTGCAACTGTTGCTGGTATTACTTCTATACCCAATACCCGAGCAGAACGGAACGACTTCGAAGAACTATTACCGTCACTTTCTCGGAAGACTTCATCGTCCACAGGATTTCCAGTTCATCGTTGACGGCATGACGCGCATACTCAACCAGCCACTCCAAGAAAAGAGCTCATATCTTCCTAGTGGACAAACAACCGCAAAGTTTGCCCCAGAAATCATTATGCTTTTCTGGGAAATCACGCAGTGCAACAAGAGATTCCGATCTTTCATTATTGATACCGAGCGGGTCCATGATTTCGTTGTTTTAACTCTGTTTTACGCATTGGAGTACAAGAACGATCCATCCAAGCAAGGTGTAGTGCGCATGTGCGCTTTCTTGCTTCAGACCTTGAGTGTGGAGAAGAACTTCGGCACCAATCTGAACAGGGTTTTCGAACGGCAAGACAGTCTGCCGTTGACTATCAGAATACCAGGGTTCAGTGGAACATACGCCGACTTCTTGATCCACGTGAGTAAGCATGACACCTTGAAATGAACTCATGCTAATCATCCTAAGTCGATTTATAATCTCATTACCACAAGCCAAGGCAGATTAACCGCCATATATCCTGCTTTGCTTGCTGTGATCAACAATATTGCCCCTTATCTCGAAGGACTCAGTGCGGCATCTGCCTCCAAGCTCATGCAGCTCTTCTCATCCATGTCTTCGCCATCATTCCTCCTAGCCAACGACAGCAATCATGATCTGTTAAGGTCACTGCTCGAATCGATCAATTCTATCGTCGAGCATCAGTACCAAAGTAAGTTACCTGCCTCAATAGTCCTCAAAGATATAAGCGCCCCTGGCTTAAGCGCGACCAATGCTGATCAACTGCCAGGGAACCCTGAATTGCTCTTCGCAATTCTGCGTAACAAGAAGCGCATAGAAGCACTGCGATCATTTACACTTGAAAGTGGCCAGGAAGAAATAGAAAGACGAAACCTTCGACGCAAGGAGGCCGCGGCCAACGGAGATGGGCTGGAAGCCAGTTCTGTTAGGAGCTCTGCAGAAAGCATCCGGAGTCCAACAACATCGCATTCTCGACAGCCCACGTTGAGCGATGTTCCAGAGGAGGACGGCACTTTCGCAATCGGGGACGACGAGGACGATAGCGAAGACGAAGACCATCACCCAACACCCGCGCAATCCACCACGAGCGAGAACCCGTCTGTTACCTCATCCCAGGCCGAGTATGCGGAAGACGCAGTACCGACTCAACTTCGAGGAATGTCGGAAAAGGCAAGAGGCAAAATGCCTGCTGGCATGAGTAACTTCTCGAGACAGAACAGCACCACAAGCTTGGGCGGCTATTCCGTCAGTGGCCAATCACAGTCTGGTGCCTTTGAGCCTACCGCGCAATGGATTGAGAGTTGGCTCCCAGAGCTGCCTCTCCATACTATTCTTACTGTAATCCAACAAGTGTCGGCTCTATTGCCACGCCAAGCGCTAAATGCCGAATCTGCAAGCCGGGAGACTCTGCAAAAGATACAGGAAATCAAGCTGGTTGGCGTCGACCCAGGACCACCTCGCGTGCACTCCTTTGAGTGGTCACAGTTGTCGTTGGGATGGTATGAATCGCTCATCTGGGGCTTTGTCTTCAGTAGCGAAATCCAGGTCTCCAAGGGGACGGTTGGAGTGTGGAACGGCACAGCGATTAAGCTGTTCCGAGTTCAGGAAACGGCGCCTCAAGGCCCAAGCTTGACTTCACCCAGGGGAGCCGTTGACGCTGTAGGAAGCAATATTGTGTCTCGCATCGGCGCCATGAATCTACGTGGCGGCCCGGGAGGTGCGGGATCAGGCACACCGCAACGCCCCTCGTAAGAGATCTCAAGTCGTTGACTGGGAATATATCGGCCCTCTCTGTCTACATCCAATAGCACGTCCTCTGTAGGACGCTTATGGCAATGACATGGTGGGCCCAGTGACATTAAACGAATGTACATGTGGAAGTAATGAGACACAGGATATGCCAAGGGGACGACCGTCACTAAACGTCACGACTTGGGGGGTTGTGATGAGTTTACTAGTGCTCAGTGAGCAGCAAGACTCAGCGCAACAGAGATGGGCATCATTGAGGCGTCCAACAGCAAAAAAGGGGATGCTGGAGTTGGAATTTGGATTACAGCTGGCGTTCGGATGATCAGCTGTGGCAAAGGACGCGTGTTTAGCTCCCATAACCAGAAACAAAGACATTGCATACAATTGCATAAAGATTCAACGCCCGTGGCCCATACACACCTCGTGAAGCCGTAACTGGCAGCGGCGCGCTGGTGAGGTGAATCACGTAACGTGGGAAACTGAAGAGGATGGGAAACTCGAAAGGGTGTGGCTGGGTGTGGCTTGCTGTGGCAAGTGCGCCATCCCAACTGACCAGGGGTAAGAGTGAGCCATAGCCAATTGATCCATATCCCGAGCACTCCATCCATGAACTAGTTGGATCAATGCAACTCTGTACCTGGCAAACAGGGCAAAAAGCGGTGATCATTTCCGAATTAACCGGGGACTCGTACGCACCGCCACATGTCCATTCGTTTGTGCACCCGTTCTAGACTTGCTGGCCATCCTTCAAGGCCACTCAGGCCTCGTCAAACAAACAGGGAGGGATAAGCCACAATGCCACACCTCGAGAGAGAGATGAACATAGACGTGGTGACATGGAAGCGCTCGCTTGGAAAGACGAGGGCCGGGATGTTACTGAGTCCCCGGTGATGGTAACGAGACGGCACCTTATTTGCTTACGTACCGAGTATTGATACCCTTCATGCCCCCTTTCCCTAAGTTCTCAAAGCCTTCCTCACCCGCTGTCTAAGGCAGTAAGGCTTCTTTGTGTTGTTCTCTCCGAACAACAAAAGACTTTTACTTACTCTCTCCATCGGCCATGCCCACTGTTGCCCAACATGGCGACTCCTCTCGAAACCAGTGTTATCTTAGCGGGAGATGAGATTAGACCTTATCGCATCCATGTGAGAAACACTCAATCTTGTTTTTTTCAGTGTCGCAGTGCTAACTGAGCCTTGAACTTAGGTATCAAGCAAATATCTTGATCTCACAAAACAAAAGCTAGAGCTGACGAGGCTGCCCCATGAGACTGTAGAGCCCAAGTCCCAGGATTGGTGGGAGCCCAAACAACAGATCGAGCCTCTGATCGATTTTTGGTAAATTTCATTGTTCCCACTTACATGACGCGCTGCTCACTAAGGGCATGTCTAGGCTTGAAAAGTATGACTGGCGAGAGCAAGAGAGGCTTTTCAACGCTCAACTCCCTCAGTTCCGCACAGCAGTATCCATACCCGGTTCAGAGTCTTCCATCCGGCTTCACTTCATCCACGTCAGGTCGCCTCACGACCATGCCGTCCCTCTTTTACTGATACCCCCTTTTCCTTTCACTAATCTCTCACTCGGGCACCTCATCCAGCCTTTCACCGAGCCAGAGAATCCCGAGACTCAGCAACCCTTTCATTTGGTCATTCCTTCTCTTCCTGGCCTCGGCTTCAGCGATGCGCTCCCAAGCAACACACCCGTGATCTCGGCTGCTGCCGAGATCCTTAATGTTGTCATGTCGAGGCTTTCATACACATCCTATCTTGTCTCGAACACTGCCTCAGCAGCTTCGAGTCCCGCAGAGATCGACTGGAAGCTCGCCAACTACCTGGCCACCCACTACTCTGGCAGTTGCGCGGGTGCTCACTTTATCAACCCTTCTATCACGGCACCGACTCTCAAAGAAGCCCCTTTGGAATGGATGAAGTGGACCATCGCTAAGCTCTTCCGCGCCCCCGTTCTTGGGTATCAGAACGAGGACTTTCGTTCTCTGGACCGTGTTCAATCCAATCCGGAATCACGCGCATCAAAGTCGTCACCAAAACTCGGTCCAAACACCATCATGGAGCCAAACACGCCGTCTTTCGCCCTCTGTGACTCGCCGGTCGGGTTACTCGCCCTCGTCCTCAAAGTCATCCGTATCTTGGGGACCACAAGGGACTTTTCGCCCACCGAGATCATCACCTTCACCCAGACAGCGTGGCTCCCCGGCCCGGAGGCAGCGATGCGCTTCTGGGCGCATTGCCTCGCCCATGACGAAAAGCAGCTCCCGAAACCGGCGACGAAGCCTAGAGTTGCAATCACGGTATTCTCTGGAGACGACGGGGGAACACGGCCACCCGACGCCGAGACGCGAACTATCTCGCCTCGTCCGGCGCCAAGTTCATACGCTTGCCCTGCGTGGGCCAACGTTCTGTATAACGTGGTTCACACGCATCGAGCGCCGGGAAACCCGGGTTTGGTCGCCTGGGACTCTCCCGAGCACATCCTGGACGGAATCAGAGGACTGTCCAAGGGGTTGCTGTCCATCGGTAGCAAGTTAAAGACCTCAAGCAGCCAGCCTGGCACTGAGCCGTTGCAGGGGGTTGTAATCCAGTCCGATTCTGCGCCAGCGCCAGGCTCAAACCAGGCGGTGCGCACGCCGGGACCGACGGAGGTCATGCCTTCCACACCGCAGGCCGAGGCCTCGTGGCGCCTCGAGCGGATACGCGAGGCTTCGGAGACGCCCGGCAAGTCGCAGAAGGACGGCGGGGGAGCCGACGCGGACTTTGACCAGGCGAGTCCGGATACTATTGTAGTTACCCCTCCGGGCAATTGAGGGGTTCTACAAGTTTGTGCCTTTGGAGAGGTAAAGTTTTTTGGTTTCTTTTATTTTGTCTGATGATACCAGGATATACGCTTCGCTGAAATGAAGACGATGAACACGAGAATGAGGAAGGAAGCCAATGGAATAATCGAGCTATTTATAACCTAATAACATGGACCTATTTTCCGACTTGTCACAACTATGACCAAACCCAAACCTTGCGTACGTGTGTAGTGGGAAGAAAAGATGTATTTGCTTTGAGATGGTTAAATCTCCATATGTTGTTGTTATAGGCTTTCTTTGTCTCTTATTGCAGGTTCTCCAACAACGTGGCGAGTATGGCTGCGTAGGCACAGCTAGCGACTAGTACGGACTCCATCTTGATACCTGGATGGGCAGCCATGACCGAGGCAAACGCGACGGTAGACCCGAACACGACGCATATGACGGTCTTTTTGCCCATTGCTGGGAAGAAGTAAAGCAGCGACACTGGCGAGAGTAAGAGGAGGGCGTAGATGCATATGAGGATCGATTTGGCGACGATACGGATACGTTGACTAGAGAGAAAAGTCACGTTTTCCTCTTTCTTGGTGCTCGGATCCTCGAACAGAAACTAAAATGCGCGTATCTAAGTTAGCTGTTCGTTTTGTAAAGTGGCTCGTATCGTTGTGTTCGGGGGGCTTACCACTAACAAGCACATGGGTAGCTTGAACAGCCATCCTTCTGCGATCCGCCACAGCGGATCCGAAGAAGTGCTTATGAAGTCCTCTGGGTAATGTAGGTACGCCATCTCTTGTTCATTTAGATATCCGTCGCTCTGGATCTTCTGGTATATGTTGCGGAACTCCGGGCGGTGCACTTCGTCGAGAGAGCCGAGGAATTTTTGACACTCGAGGAAACGGTCTAGTGAAGTTAGTAATCTTGAAGCATTGCCGTCTGGTGTGGACTCGACTCACAGTAGGAGGGAAGCAATGAGGATATCTTCTGCAAGGTTCCGGCTATCTCGTAGGACAGTTGGCTGTCTTCTGTTGTGTCTGGCAAACCCTGCCGTTCAGGGGCTTGCATCCCCCCTTCTAACCATCGCTGTTCCAGTTCGTAGAGAGTTCCTTCTAAATCTGTCAATTTGGTTGTGCAGTCTACAATGACGCGTTGCAGCAAATAGCCAAACCTGCGGTGTATCGCAGTGTTTGCGTACGCCTCCTGTTCTGCCGCCAGGCGTGGCCAGCCTTCGGCATACCTCTCGGCTTAAGACATGTTAGATCTTCCGGGGTAGTGTAAACCGAGATTGTTTTGGTTGTAAGCAACTTACGTTGATTGCGGTAGAAAAAGCTGCTCGAGGCGTTTGCGTCATCTGGGGCTTCCGCTTTGTCCGTCAAACAAGTACTCGTAGTTACCGGTGATTATACACTTACACGTCGAAGTAGTAGAAGGCTGCATCAAGAGCCACGAGCCCAACAACCGGTTAAAGAACGTAGATCGATATGTCTGGTTCAACTCGGGGGGTTGGGTTGCCGCAGGGTAGCTGCTGCTGGCCTGGCCAGCTTCGATATCAGTCATCGGCACAGTCGACATGTTACGAGATCTTGTATTGTCAAAGTAATGCCTTGGGCTCTTCTGTAGACATAGTCGCCGAAATGAGCTGAATTTATGGACTTTTCGACATCATCTTTGCTGACGCAAAAGGACATTCGGTGAAGGTCAACTTGACGAAAGCCTTGCCAACAAGATGGCGATGCTGGCTCGTGATGCCTTTTCTTGGACCCCATATCAAAGAGATGGTGTAGTAGAACGGAATGCTATGGGCAGAAGCATACTGGACGCGTCTTAATACGCTGAGTTGTCTGCCCTGATTTTGAGTTTCTCGTTGAAGGCGGGCCGTTGCGGTGTAGAATGGTGTGGTGGACTGCCGACCCATTCGTGGCCTTCTCTATAGCTTCGGCCGAGAGAAAAGAATCAAGAGAAGGGTTGGTGTGGAGATGGATAAGATATGGCTGTTGGTTCTCATCGACCGTCCAGTCATTGTCAGGTTGAACTCTTGCGGGAAGGGAGGCGCTCACACAGGACGTGGATAGAATAGGAGACCGGTGTGAACGGACTTGTAGCGCAGTGTACCCAGAAGATGCAGAAGAGAAATCAGCCCCCAAATGCAGTACTTTTGAGAAGGCTGCGAGTGCTCACCGCTCGCACTTTGAATTGGAAATCGGGATTTCGCTCAGTCTTCCAGGCTGTGTCGGGCCGAGAGAGGAGGGGTTGTCGCTGCCCTACTGATTCAGGACAAACGTTTTGGTGCAGGCCAACAAGTCAAGGAATGATCAGCCCGAGTGTGTATGTGGGGAAGATCTCATATGATTGCTCAAGGTCAAAGGTATGCTATTGTTGGCGAAGTCGCTCACGCCTAGAAAACTTGTCCACCGCGGAGCAAAGGAGACGCCGACCGCCATCACCATCACTAATCGACGATCCATAGGGTAGCATCGATCTGAGCTTCTACCAAAGTTTAAACTTCCTGCTAGAGATTCCAAAACCCGAGAGACATCCTGCCGGCACCTAGGGAGCCAGGACCCAGGACCCTCGTCCTCGAGACAAGCCGCAGACAGACAGAGGACAGGGCAAAGGAGTGATAGCTTGAACGGGGTAGCAACCACCAGCAGTCTACAGAAGGAAAGATGAGACGGAAGTATTCCATTTCCGACTTGCAGCTCAACTTCCCCTGTCATCTGCACGATGCAAGAGGGGTCGTATGCGCGCTAGGCGCTGTCCTATCGATGATGCGATGACTCTGGACACCGATAGCAGAGGTAAGTCGTCGCTCGGGGGAAAAAAAGGGATGAAAATCAATCCTAACATTTCAACAAGCTTTCGTGACCAGATTCAAGAGAATCGTTTTGAAGGAGAGAATCCGAGAGACATGATGAAAGACAGACCTGCGACCCCTGAGGTGATTCAGCGATGCGACCATGCTCTCCACATCCACTTCTGTTGGTTGGTGTCACACGGACCACTGCATATATCGGGGCATGCATTCAACCCATGCACCCGGCTATTGTTTCCCATATAAAACTAACGGGGATGTCATTTTGTGCATGAAAACCTTCAAATCGGTAATTACCGAATAGACGGTTATATAATCAACCCAATAACCCCTAGACAGTCTCTAATGAATGGAAGCATCTTTTTTTACCCCATAAGTGGTGGGCAAATTGACTGCGTGACAGTTATGAGCCCAGTACCTCATGGTGACAATTACCAATTGAAAAACCGACTTCCAGAAGGGAGCAGTTCAGACTTATGCCATAGACAAGGGCACTCAATTGACGAAGTTACCGACCCATGAGACTTTGGCAGTCAAGTCCACCAAACAAAACATCAATTCCAATCACACAAGGCTGAACGTTGAAGTGTTGAAACATTCAATCACAAAAGAACTTCTGGTCATCAATTCATATCATCAACACTTATCAAAAAATCACAAAAAGTTCATCTCAACTCAGGGGGACTTACCACATCTGAGGAGTTGAACCCAGGACTCTTAACTTGAACCTTATATAAGTTCATGCTCGACCATACCACTGATACGCAGCCAGGAGGGTTGGAATTACGAAACGGAAGAGACACCTAGTTGCTCATTTTATGCCTCTGAAAGCTTCGGGCAGATAAGACGAACAGGTGGTTCACTTTATAGTCTTCGTGTAACGGAACCGATAAGACTTTTTACAAATTGCGAAAACTCCACAACCCTGAATTGAACCCACGAAGGGGAGCTTGCCAGTCTTACGGTCCTTGCGAATAGCTACAAGTTGGGTGGCTAGACCAACTACACTAAACGGCAGGTTCATTAGACAAGGGGGGCGTCTTGCGTTTTGTTGAGAATTGAGGCGTTGAGATTGGCTATATACCCTCAAACCTCTAGGCAACAATCGACAAAATCACCAACTTGAAACAAGAAGTGTCTAGTCACGAACTCAATCTTGGCCACGGCGAAAAATCAACTGCACAACGATCAGAAGAGAGAGACCAGTTCTCTTTTCAAGAGAGATCATGAATTCAACTACGGAAACTGCAAAATACACACAGCGGCTACAGACTGACAGCGACTGGAACCACTGGTTCAACAACTTACAGATGCTGGCAAACGTTCATGAAGTCTGGGACTATGTGAATCCAAAAGGAACCAAGATTAATACTAAGCCAAGATTGGAATTCCCAGACCCAAAAGACCTCAGACAAGAAGAACGAGCAAACTATAGCAACGTTATCAGCTATGGAAAAGCTATCTATCAAGAAGAAAAAGACCAATACAACCAGGTTCGGCGAAGTCTTCTAGAAATTCACAGTTGGATCATGAACACTGTAGCAGCCACTTATATCAGCCAAGTCAGCAAGGAGCAAACAGTCAGGGATATCATAAAAGCTCTTGAAAAACAGCTAGCGCCAGACAACTTTGGGAGACAACAAATGGTATTGGAAAGATATAACAAGCATATGCTATCAATCAAAAGAGCAAAACTTGGAGGATGGCTCATAATCTATCGAGAAATCATGGATGAAGCCCAAACAATCGGAATCCCTGCTCTCAGCGATCCAGTTACTCAAGTCTCTGAGTTCTTGAAAGCAGTCAAGCAAATTGCACCAGATTACTACACATCTGCCTCTTACGACTTCACAAAGCGATACAAGGATGACCCAACCTACAGTTCGATCAGCAAGACTGCTGGAATTGAGCAAGCTAACGATTTCCGCAGTTGGGTGAGAACTTTCCACCCAGACTGGCTGAATGCTGCTCCATTAAAAGACACGAGTTTCGCTACTTGGCAAGGAGAAAACGAACAAGGAATAAAACAGGGGGCAAAACGAGAGCAAAAGTGTGCAGCTTGCCCAAACGAAAGTCACCGATTTGTTGATTGCAAACATGCCAACCCTAAGAAGCGAGGCCCAAACTATCATGAAGATAATCCAGAAAATAAGAAAGCACTGGAAAGATTGAATGAGTATCTCCAGAAGAAACCACACTTAAAAAGAATAGTTGAAAAACTACGAAAAGGGGCAAGCGATCAGCAGTCTCAAAAGTCCCCAGATCGAGCAACATCTTCCTCAAACTGGAGAAACACTACACAATCATCATCCCACTATACTCAAGAAGTGTCTGATGGAGAAGGATCACTCTCATCTTTCGTCACTATCGTCAATCAAGGAGAAGCAAGTCTCTATTCAGGATTCCCACTGTCAGACAGTGTGATAGTAGACTCAGGAACAGGATTCCACATCTGCAACGACTCCTCAAGACTTCATGATCTCGACTACACAGTCACAAAAGACTTCACCTCTGGAGGAGGAGATGTACATGCAATTGCGAAAGGCACAATGATCATCAAACCAAACCAAGGCGGCAAATCCAACAACAAGGAGATCAAAGTCAGAAATGTATGGCTTGTGCCTGGATACCCAACATCGCTCCTTGGGACAGAACCGCTGAAGCAAAAAGGGATCATCTTTACAACAGGAATACCGGGTCTTATCGACTCAAAAGGCAGACTTCTATTCAAAACACCAAACCGATATGGTCAATACATTATTGAAGCTGGCCCAGCTCTGCTGAACAATACCTCGTTCAGCAATACCGAGAAGACTGTGAGATTCAGCCCAACCGTAGAAAGGAAACCAACCAAAGGTTTTCAGTCAACAAGACAACCACTCCCAACATCATCAGCAGAAGCCAAGTTGTGGCATGAGAGACTTGGTCATCCAGGCGCTGAGGGACTGGAACAGCTACTTAAAACAGCTCTTGGGATACAGATAAAAGGAATCACAAAAGTGGAATGTGATGCCTGTGCTGTTGGGAAGGCAACTCGCCAAATTTCCCGCAGAAACCCAGACCATTGGCCAACTGCTGTAGGAGATTATCTATCTCTCGACTTCTTTACACTTAGCAAAGCATACAATGGGGAGAAGGTGATCCTGCTGGTCAGCGATGGCTGGTCAGGGTTCTTCTGGATAAGAACTCTTCGTACTCGAAAGGAGGGACTACAAGCTATGACAGAATTAGCAGCATACCTCGAGAGACAGTGCTTTATCAAAATCTCTATTCTACGCCTAGATTGGGAGGTTGCTTTACGCAATGCGTTTGAACTATGGGCAGCTGTGAATGGATATATGATTGAAAGATCAGCTGAGTACACTGGTGCTCAAAACCCAGCAGAAAGAGCTGGAGGTGCTGTGTTTATGATCATGAGAGCACTTCGATTTCAATCTCGCTTTCCTGAATTGATGGCACCAGAGCTGGCAAAAGCAGCAGTTTATCTGTCAAACAGATTGCCTCGAAGACGCCACAAGTGGCAGACACCATTGGGGTTGGTCAACACTTGGCTGAACTCTCATCAACAGTCTACCCACAAGAGGGCTGAAAAGCCACAACTAGCACACTTGAGGCGATATGGCTGCAGAGCTTACCCCTTGACACAAAACTACAAGAGAGGAATAGAAAAGTCAAACAAAACTGCGCCAAGAGCTCATATTGGCTATCTATGTGGTTATGACAGCACAAATATCTACAGAATCTGGATCCCAGCAATAGG